CCTCTGCTTTAGTCATAGAGGAGCTTCAGATGGATGCAGAGGGGATGTACACCTGCCAGGCTTTGTATGATACAGATGAGGGGACCAGGATAACTTTCTACTTCACCCGGCTGGATGTAGAGAACGACTAATGACAACTCTCTGTATTTTGTTTCACATTAGTTACATCACTTCAAAAGTGTGCTGCATTAATGTCTACTTTTCGGATTTATGACCACTGTGTGTATCTTCAAACCATCTGTTTTAAAGAGTTGGTTCATCCACATTCCTGAAAACACATTATCAAACGACTCTCCAGTGGTATCTAGCCATGCAGACAGTTTTGGTCTTTGCTCAGGGTTTGAGATGGCTGTCTCTTGCCCCCACCATCATCTAATGAATAAAATTTCACCAATGAAAATGTACATTTAAAGCGCAACTTCATCAATTTAACACAAAAAAGTATGTTTACTCATAACTAAGTTAAAATTGGCTGAATAAATCGTTTTAGAGACTGAACTTTGTATTGCCCCCAAAAATAAAAAAACAGTGGAGGCTCTCTGAGGTCACTCTGACCCCTTACAAAAGGTGCAAAATGGTTTAGCTTGCCCCACAATAGGATTCATCTCTAAACGGGCTAATCGAGCCATGCTGCAGCATCATTGTGCCTTGTGACAGTCATGTCTTTCCCCAAGAAAGGGAAATCGGGGGACCAAAAAAGAAAAGAAAGGAAAGAGAAATAAATCAAAGGGAAGGAAAACAACTGCTAATTTCCTTCAAAAGAAAGGTGATCACAACTAACACAGTTACAGAATGGATTAAGCTAATATCGGCAGTTTTTTAGATTGAAGGCAGTCAGCAAGGAATCTAGCTTGATGCATAGTTACATTGCTGGTTAGAACATAAATTATTATTAAATGAATCAGCATCATAGCTACAATGTCATATGACATATCTATCAAAATTATCTAGCAAAGCTAGATACAACAACATCAGAAAACACATGGCCCCCTCCGTTAGATACAGAAAGTAGAGCAGCGGCATGTTCTCATCATCTCCCACCGTTACTGAGGATGTGAGACAAGGTGAGCTCATACAATGGCAACTAAAAGTTTCAACTGAAAGGAGCTTAGCAACAATAACATCAAGCAACCTGTTTTATTGTATGTTGTTATGCTATAAACTGGCTATGAGCCTAATATCAGTTGTGTATATTTCAGATTATTATTACTTAATGTGGTATGAATAGCTAATTAGTGACTACCCTAATCACTACAAATTCATGTGTACAGTTGTTTGCTCAATTATTTGTAAACATTTTTCAAAAGATGCGTGAGACATGAACCAAGAGAGGAAGAGGGCCTACCTGCTTGTGCTTAGGGCCCAGAATTTTGTGCTACAACCCTGCTGCGAAGTACAACTGAACCTGCTGTCTTATACCATTTTCTCAAGTCTGAGAAAACCAGAGTGATGTCACCAGGGGTTAACTCTATTTGCACCTGGATACTACAATTGTTTAACCAGAAGCTGCTGGCATGGAGTAAAGATTTAAAAAGTCACACTCAGTATGTCTTTAAAAACAAAGTCCTGATTACTCTGGATAATCCACAAACCTTGCTGTGTATAAGTCCATCAGAATCAATTTCTATCAAAGAAGTAGTCCCTAAAAAAACATTGACATTGTGTTCTGTGGATTGTCCAGAGTAACAGGAAGGTACTTTATAAATGGACACATTGCTGTACATTTTCAAAAGTCCACTTTTCATTACTGTAAGCATCACAAAGAAATAACCCTAACATGCCTGACTAAATATCACAAGAGTTAAGTGAGAAAATATGTTTATTGTTATTTGGGTGAACGGACACTTCAGCACCAGACTGGACTGTAGACTGAAACACTTTGATCAGTGAAAGGTGTTGCTATTGTCTCCTGCAATCTTTGTAGCCATATAAACTTATGACACCGTGTAGACCTGAGGTTGTGGTTTCCATTTCAAATACTTAACCAGTCTTGTATTGTGTTTCTTATTAAAACCATCTGGATAGCGGGTTCATTAGACCAGACTATTTTTTGTTTGTTTTTCTTGAAATATATTGTTCATTACTGTTTCTGCTTAATTCTAATAGCCACCCTGCTGTGTTGTTTTTCTTTCTTTAAGTGCATTAGCCTGTATTTGTTATTTAACTACTGTGTGTTGTCACTTTCAACTGTGAGAAACTGTGGCAACTGCTGAGCAGACTGACACATCTCAACATTTTTAAAGCACATCGCTCGAGGCCACAAACTAATTTCTGAATAATTTCTGGTGAACATTTTAGCTGCTTTGAACTGACAGATACCTTGACATAAATCCTTGCACACAAAACAAATGTTCTCTTAAATTATTAATCCGTATAAAATTAACATTACATTACTCATATCTGTGCACAGATATCCTAGAGTTGTTGGTGAATAAAAATGACTACATAGCTGATTTATTTTTCAGCAAGTGTGGCTCTCAGTGAATACCATTAATTTCACTCTGAAAGTTAGTTCCTATCAACAGGTCCTGTTAACAGGGAGAAACGCAGGTTGTTAAATTAATGCAGCTGGGATAAAGATAAGTGTTTCTGTTTTTTCCCTGATTATATCTAACAGGTGCAGCCTACAAATTTTGTTGTTAAATCAGCATAAAAACCCAACTGAATGTTGGCTGTGTGGCATCTTTATGCATCAAGACTTGAGCGTGATAAATTAACAGTGGATATACTTGAAGGAACATATAGATTATTAGTCATATGAGCTCATCATTTGCAGGGACCCACTGGAATGTTGTTGGAGTTCATCCAACCACAACATGCTTCACTTGTGGTTTGTGACATCTCAAGGATAAAACCGCCTGGGGCTGAATCAAGCAAGTTAACAACACACTGCCCGATTCATAAGAATTGCATTCATTCAGGGTGTGCTGGAGAGGGGAGAGAGAGGAAGAATGGTGGGCGGAGGGGAGAGGGACTGGCGTTAACAGGTCTGCTCTGCAGCAAGGGGCAGAAATTCCACGACGGACAATGAGCTTTCTTGTTCCCATGGGCTCCTTAATGAAGGGGTGTAGCTGCGTGGGTAGAGGGTGCAGGGCAGGGCTGAGGGAGAGTGGCGACTGATAGACGTGGGAGATGGAGAAGCAGCTCATTTAGAGACAACCCTGCCCTTATCTTTTACTCATCAGCACAGCCTGCATCTGTCAGCATCCCCTCTCCCTCCCCGGACCATTTCTCTTTTGTTTCCAGCTTCATTTCCTATCCATTGTTTGTTCCTTTTTCTTCCTAATGGCAGCAAAAGAATCATAGTGGACACTCGAATGAGCTACTGCTTAGAAATAAAATAAAAGATGAAAGGAAACTTGATGAGACTGCAGAGAATGGCCAGTTCTTCCCATCATTCTGGGCTGTGAGTCACTTTTTGTTTTGGACTCACATACTAAAACAAAATCAAATAAGTGCACATCTAAAACAATTGAAGGCAGAGAAACTCAGGCAGGCTATTTCTGGGAAAGAACTAAGTCAAGTCAACTGAACGAATGCCGCCAGCCACCATTGAGACTAAAAATAACAGCCGGAAGAGGCCGTGCCACGCCTCAGCAGCAGGCAAGTAAATCCGGGTGCCAGGAATATCCCGTATACTGGGGAGGAGAGATGCCAAGCGAACCAGGGCCTGAGGACTGGCAGCCGACTCCGGTACAAAACACAGGCAGACAGGCACCAGGCATGGAAAGCCTGCACAACAGTCATCATCAGTGAAGCACAGCCAGCCCTGTCATATGTCCACTGCAATCCTATCAACTCCAATCAGCCAGCACACCATGGAGATTATTTTAAAACCAATGGAGGATTTAAGCCTTTAGAAAATGGGTTTGGCAAATGCAGGCTGAAACCTGAGAAGAACTGTTTTATGAACGAGCTATGCAGAATTTTCACACATCAGGAGCAGCACATAGCGGCATTTGACGACATAATTACTGATTTTAACTCACCCCCTTCTATTACTATGATTAGGATTTCTAATATACCACTATCCGTGTTGTTCTTCACAGCAATATACACTAGACAACTGGCACCACTGGCTCCAATTGCCCGTGCTCACCCTCTGTTTCCAGAAATCACGAAATGTAAAGTCATTCAAATGGTTCAGATGCCCACTTTTACCAACATTCCCAATTTGTGATTACTTAAAAGGGTCAAAATAATATATATTTTGTCACTTAGCCCCTAGTGGTTATCAGCCATACACATAGTTTTTGTTTCATATATTAAAGTATACCCTTGTGTCGTTCGATGAATACTGTTCTTTTTACTCTTGATAATCCACAGCTGGCGATGTTCGTTAACTGAGACTACTTCTTCAGTACAATAAAAAAAAACAATCTGCTTTATCAGGGTTAAGTGAAACATGTTTTTTATGATTTGGCTGATCTGACCCTTTATACCATGAATACCACCACTGAGGACAGAGGATCAACTTTTCTCTAGAAAGAGCATTTGCTGTTAATCAAAGACACAGTTTGTATTTTTAGATTTAGACCTTCCTGTGGCCAAAGATTTGCACCTGACATCAGAATTTCACCTGGTCAGATAAACTTCATCTGTGTGAACTCAAAATTAGAACGGAGCGGAAAGTATTCTGTTAGTAGCAGCAGAGCAATTTTAATATACAAAGATTAGTGTAAGAGGGCTGCTCACACTTAACAACTCCGTTTTAATTTAACTACTCCACTTCTCTAACAGATTGGGGCCAGTAGGTCAACAGTGCTCTCAAAAAAACATAAGTGATGAGCTATCAAGTATTCACTGAAGCAAAGAGCAACAGTCTTAATCTGAACAGTGAAGGGAGTGTTCACCCCGTTCAGGGGTCACAGCAGTGGAACAGCCCATCACAGAACTACATCAAAGGCCTGCCAGAAATATCAATGGGTTTGGACTGAGGCCGGGAAATTCACTATGGCAATCATTATCTGGGCGCTGCACATGAAGGAAGGAAAGACACTGAACATAGGTTGTTGTTTACTCTTCCATATCTTCTCTTTATATTATTACAAAACTTTACACGGACAGTTGCTAATCTCCACTCATGAGTGGAACACAGACAATACAACAAAAAATAAACAGTATTTCTCATCCAAAAGGCATAAATAATATAAAAGACAAACTTCCTTTAAAACAGATACATTCATATGAAATAATATTTTACTACTACAAAAAATAAATAAGTCATCTAAAGAGTTTTTGATCTTTTATGAGAGTCTTTCCTCCAGTGGGATATAGTTTCTGTCTTTGAGCAATGTTTCCTTTGCTCTTTGTCTTTCTCTCCATCTGGCTTTGCTCTCAGTCTCTTGTAGTCTCTCTCTTTTCCCAAGTCATTCATCTCAGTTCAGTCCATCGAAGGTTTTGTGTCCTTGCCACCGTAACATGCAGTGTCTCTGACTATAGCATTGCTTAACCTCTTCCTTCCTGGTGTGTAGTGATATTTCCACCACTGTCTCTTGTCCAGACTCTAAACCCTCCACACTGCAGGAGAATGCATTTGTGTGTGGGCTGCATTCAGACCTCCTGTGGGCTGGGCTGGATCAGCTCTCCTGCCAGGCTGCTGCTGGAGATCCACCCAGGCTTTTCGTCACAGTCAAAGTCTGGCAGGCCAAGACTCTCCCAGCACACCACAGGCCCCTCCATGTCCACGCACTCCAGCTCCCCCTCAGCTGCACAGAGACAGAGAAAGAAGAGTGTTTTGTTTATACTGCATATTAAAGAAGACAAGAACAGATTCTGGAGAGGCCCACAGTGTAATTTGTGGCTATGCTGCATAGTTTGTCTGCATACAACATCAGGATTGGTAATGATATAAAAACTTACTAGTAAGGCATTAGGAGCAAGAACTGTATGAGTTCGTTTTGTGAGTTCGATGAACCATGAATGAGTTTTCATTTAATCCCCAGAAATTTGTCTTTAACTTTAATGTCTTAAAGCCATAGTTTGACATCTTGGGATATATGCTTAATCGCCTTCTTGCCAAGAGTTAGATGAAAAGATTGATACCACTCATATCTGTTCAGTAAGTATAAGCTTCTAGCTTAGCACAGAGAAGCTTATACTTACTGAACAGATATGAGTGGTATCAATCTTTATCTGACTCTTGGCAAGAAAGCAAGTAAGCGTATTTCCTAAAATATCAAACTATTCATATAACTGTCTGAGCTTAAAATTACAATGAGCTTGTGGTTGATAACTAGTGTATTTATATAGGTTTGTGCAGAATCCATTAGTCAGTCTGTTTGTAATTTTGTTATTCTGCATTATTCATACACTACATTTATCATGAAATACTTCACCGGCCACAAGCCACCATTAAGAGACACGACTACCATACAAACATTAGAAAGTAAATCATACTAAATAGTATCACAGTTGATTGTATGCAATACTGAAGGGGATAAGGTCATGCCTGCCTAAAATTGATGTATTTATTTATATAGTCTTATTCTATAACCTAATTCAACTAATTGGTGTTTTGATTAGAAGATTATCCAAACATTACCTGAAATTATAGATTTTCTGAAATAAATAGGAAATTCAAATGCATAACCAGGGCTGAAAAGAACATGACAAGTTGCAGGCATCTCTAGCAATTAAAACTCACTTTTATCAATTGATTCATGTTATGTGGTAGGATGCAGGTAGAATCTAATGCTTTTTCTACATCCACTGGTGCTGAATAACAAAGAAGTGAGAAAACACCAAAAGGACAGAAGAGCAAGAAAAAAAGTGGTGGAGGAGGAAAAAGACCCAGATTTTGTGGCCATTTTGTATAAAAATGTGTCTCACCAGTGTTGTCTGCTTGACAGTTTTCATTGTTCTCGACCAGACAGCAGGAATGCTGTGAGGGCGAGGACTCCTTGTGCTCATCTGGCTGGTACCCTGCATCGGCCCCCTGGTCACCAGAGAGCATCTGGTTGTTGGGGCCGTGGCACTGCGACGAAACCTGGCCCAGAGGCATCATCTCCAACCCGTCCTGCTGGCACGGCGCCACACGATGCATTAGAGGCAAAGTGCCACTGGAGTAAGTGCCATTGGTCTTGTTGTAACATCTGCTCAGAGACAGAGGGAGATGGAAAGAAAAGTGGGACACATTCGTTTATAAGGTGCCAGTGTGTTACTGAGTGCTCACCCACTGACAACTCTCAGCGGTGATTCACATACAGCTCTGGTTCTTCCTCTCCGCCAGACACAAAAAACCTTTGTGCTAATACTCCTAACAATGTGCAAAACAATGAGAGCTCTAATACAACTGAAACACTCTGGCACAGCTGCAAAATGAGTTTTTTAATAGTTAACTCTCAATGCCTCTAAATAACTGTGACACATTGTGGTTTTGCTCTCGGGTGAAGTTCCCAAATGCAGACAGTTTCACGCAGCGAACTTCACCATGCTTCTCTCTACTTGCGCTAGAATTGGATTGTGACCACGCCCCCTCTTTTCCCAGCAGCCAGAGGTAAATAAACACAGGGCTCATTAGGTCTGCTGCCTGGGTGCACACAGGGTAAACTGTGATGCTGGGGACCCTTAAGTACATAAACAGGACTAGCAGCAGGGGAAATGTATGTGTGTGTGTGTGTGTGTGTGTGTGTGTGTGTGTGCAAAGCTTTTGCACCTTATGAAATATGAGCAATGTGCATTCTTTGTGATGTCCATAAGGCTCCTCTTTTTCAGATTTTTCCAATTTTCAACAAACAATGCAGATTGCTTTAGGAGTTTCACCCGGATTTTATGTTCCCACACACCTAGAAGTTGCTGTGCTTTCTGTTGCTGACACTAATCACTGCAGTTTAGAGTGAATGAGGTGTGCTTGTGACATACACAGCTCAGAAATATTTCCGGTAATAGAAATTGAAGTTGTGGATTATGCACCAGAATACATTTAAATAAGCCCTTAAAAAAGTACAAATCTTTAAACTATAGAATGTCTATGGGTTGTCTCACAAATTCTACTTTGACAGATCCAATTCTTGCCAGGATTTTCCTACAAATTTCCTATACCAATTAATTCCCAGATTTCTGTGAAAGCAAAATATAGTAAAACATACACAAAGCAAAATTAGATTAAAAAGACTTCTTCCCTTACCTGTTATTGTTGCAGAGGTTTTGACAGCTCATACAATCTGACGAGTCTGTTTGGGGAAGAGCTGTGTACATGCCTCCACCCTGACAATACAAATAGAATACAGACACTGCATTTAGCCAAACCAAACTGTATTTGCACCTGCTGATGTAAAATGCCACACTTCATTTGATACTTGTATATCATGGATATTAATAAGGTGTCCAGTCTCTATGTTCGGAGTACTATGTGCAGCACTCACGTTATGGTGGTGGTGAGGGTGCGAGTGCGAGTGCTCGCAGTCCCGAGTGCTGTGGGGCAGTGTGCCATCGTGGCCGTGTGGGTGGCCAGATGAGAACAGGCTGCTGGAACCATTGAGCAGTGCCAAGCCATTGGGTAGTTTGTGGTGGAGGTGATGACACCCTTGGGGTAACATAGGGCCACTGTGCCCGTAGCCCCCGTGGACGCCCCCATTAATGCGGTTGGAGCCAGGCAATGTAGTGTAGTCATGAACGTGGCCATTCATCTCTGCTGGCTGGTACAGGTAGCCGGGAGGGTCATACTCTACAGCAGAGAGACAGATAGAGTGAGGAGGTTATGGAGGGACAGACAGATTAGGACAGAGGTAGAGACCAGTTTAAAAGTCTGATCTAGTCCAGTAAAAGGAACAATTCTTCACAAACATGTATTAATTATTAACTAAGTGTATGAAGCAGTGAAATGTGGCACCGAAGCTTTCAGATTCTTCTTAGTCTTTTTTAATTGATCTTTATCAGATATATTTTAGTGTTTATTTCTTCATAATTTTGCAACTTTTTTTTTACCATGGCAATGTTCTTGTACAGCAGCTTGTGTTAACACAACATTAAACCCCCATTCACTGGGATTTTTTTGTACAATAAGAGACAGGATTTGTACAAAACTTTGTATTTGCCAAAACAAGTTCTCAAAACTTTGTTTCAGCACTGAACCTCTGTTAACATATGGCCATCTGCATTAAAAAATATCAACTCTATTGTTCAATTCGCCCTGATGTTGGTGAAGTCCAGTGAATTATCACAGAGAAAGTAAGAACCTGTGACTCAATATTAGCCTTGGCCAAAATCTTTAATCTACAAAGCCCCAAATATTTACAGATCCAAAAGGTCTGGTTAAGAGTCCACAATGGCAAACATTTTTGCAAGCGCTGTGGGATCTATATATATTTGAACTATGAACACTTGGAATATGTTGCACAAGCTGTCTTGGGGCCAACTGTCTTTAAATATGAGAAACTAAAATGGAGTTAACTCTTTGTATATGTGCTGCAAGCTCATTTAAAATTAACTACAGAAAAACTCGGAGTGAACACAATAGATGCCATATGATACGTTTTTAAACACATTATCCAAAATCTCACAGTGTAGGCAACAACTATACTTTTTTATGCTAGCTTTGGATTTACTTTGTTTCCAAACTCACTGTGCATGTTGTTCTGCTGGCGATTCCTCCACAGACACATGGCGATAAAAGCCAGCAGAATAAGCACCATCACTCCCAAAACACAGCCCACAATGAGGTACAGCAGTCCTCCAGGTGGGCTGGGTGGCTCCTGTGGAAGGGGGCCAGGTGGGGTGATGGGGTACTGACTGGGTGACCCCGGGGACTGACGTGCTGCAGCAGAGAAGAAGGAGGGGGCATGAGGAACAGCTTTTTACCCGCCAGCAACAAAGAAAAATAACACAGTACCAAACTATAAAATGCAAACCATTGTTGTTGGTCTCATAAAACTCAGTACATTTATGTTGTGTAATTATGGCGATCATACCAGTCATTAAAGTTACAGCCTTCGCAGAAACATGCCTGGACTTCTGATAAAGTGGAGGTTTGGTTGATGCATGAGTCACTTCTTGTGTGGCACAGTTGTGTGTTTTCTTACCTCTGGTCTCACAGATCATGACGTTGCTGTATTCACTCTCTCCCCCATCATTAAAGCACTGCATCTTAATATCATAGGAGGTCTCAGGCTGGAGATGTCCAATCATGTGCCAGTGTTTTACACCTGAGGAGGGTGGAGAGAGGGAGGAGGAAAAAAGGCGGACAAAGGTGAGAAATCACTTCCTGTATGAGCTGGTGTTGACTCACATCGCTCCAAATCCTGTGTAAAATCACTATTTCTATTCCCTCCTTCTCCTTCTTCTCTTCATGTCTCACACTTACATGGAGGTCATGTTCTTTCATGCTCTCGCTCTCATTCACCCCCCTCTTTCTCTTTGCTTCAACACCCCCACCCTTCTCTCTTACTCCGTCAGTCCCACGAGGGCCCAGACAGTTGCTTTACTCTGGACAAGCTCCATATATGGCAGCTTCATGTTTGTCCTGGCCTGCCTCCAGTATTCACTCACACACATACACACACACACGCCACAGGCTCACTACCACACACTATCACACACTACTACGTGCTCTGTAATCACAGATGAGACCACAATCTTTCACATGGAAATGCTACATTTCCAACAAACAAGGCTGAAATAAGTTGCTATTCTTGCTGTGTTTTGTTTAACAAAATGCACATGTCCTACAAGGTAGATTTGAACAGTTTTGAGGGGGCAATAAAAGAAAGTTGCTGCTAAAGCTAAATCTACTCTGTGTTCAATACAGAAGCAGAAGTTTAATACACAAATAAACACCAGCCTGTGATCTATTACATATTTTGAACTGCATATTTGAAACAAGACACAAAGATTATATGAGGAACCACAGTATTTAGTAAGTGCCAATCAAAATGTGACAATAGCAACGAGAGTCAAATTGCTGAGTTACTGAAAGTTGGCATCGAATGGTTTGTCAGATTATTAGTTTTGTCTTATTTAGGGAAAGTTCTTACATGGCTAATTTTGTTAAGACGTTTAATTTATACATAAATCAAAAATGGGAGTTATGTTTATATTCCTCAAAGACTGGTATCCAAAAAACGATTATGTTGGCACTAACATCTTCAAAAGATAAAATAAGCACATATTTCGTGATATGCAGGTTAAAAAAAAAAAACTACCAGACTTCATTTAAACAATTGTCAAGTCATGTGCTTTAGTATGCTTCAGTCCTGGTAAAAAGGTCTATGTCTTGTGTCTGCCATAGTGTCTTTTATGATGCTGGGCTGTTAAAGTGAAACTTAAAAGTAGCTTTGACACGTTGTCTAGGTACATATTACTGTATTTTCAAAAGTATTTCAATTATTTAAATATGAAGTGGAAGCAGGTCATAACTATACATTGAAATACAGTCACTGAATTGCTATGGAAACAGTTATAGGTAACCTAGATATCTAAAAACACTTTTTGACTGAATTATGCCCAATAGAGATTTATTCATCATCTTTTGACCTTCAAATCCATGACATTGTGGAGTTTATGGAAAATTAGATGTTTTCGATGTTAAAGAGTTGGGCGGAGTGAAAGGACGTCCCTCCTTCCCTTCCTGTACCAGGCTCCACTGAGCAACCTGAGCCCCTCTCCTCTGACTGGGCTCATATTTCTGGCAACCATTTATTAAAAACAGATTTCAGAAAGCCCTACTGCCCAGGAACAGCACTCCCTATAAATCAAACAGCAGAAATGCCCCTCTTCACTACACCCCACTCTTGACACCGGGTATCCATTACCCTCGCAACTCCCACTTCATCTGCAGAGCATGAGTTTCACATCCGGGACGGGGCTGTCAACAAACAATCTACACCAACTACACCCAATCTGCAGTGGAAACACAGACACACAAACATTAAAACCAGCATTTCCACTTACCTTCGACCACATCCCTTTTGTAGTCGCTGTCATTGTCACTGTCTGTGGGACGGTAGTATATGTAGAAGCCTTGAATTGGAGTGTTGTTGTTACTCGAGGGACTATACTGGATGGGGATGGAAAAAAGATTACGTTAGACTACAGCAATCTGGTGGGCAATTATTATACAAAGAAGGGAAATTTTCCAGCAACTAATGGCAAGGATTGTTATCAGCAGATGTACAGGATTGCAAGCAAGATTGTGATTGCACTGTCTGTCTGAAGTTCAGGAAATGATGGGACTGTCTGAGGTTAAGTAAATGTGGAGAACAATCAATGTCCATCTGTGGCCGAAGGAGGAGGAGCTTTGAACAATGCAGAATCAAAACGTAGACAGACAGGGCCTCTTAATCTCTGTAGCTCTAATCAGCACAGCTGCTCAATTAAAGCTAGGACTGAGTCTCAAGAACCACAAGCAGCTCAAACGCAGATGAGCCAGCTAGAAAAGACACATCGCCCAAGTTATTCTGTGACCGGCTGGTCTTATGTTGTGGCCAACAGTAAACGTATGTTTATTTAAGTACTGTCCTTAATACTACCATTTTGAGGTACTTTATGCTAGTTTATACTTCTTCTCCAGAGATGTATACTTGGCATTCAAAACTTGGGGACATGAGGCTTAAATTCAATTAAGGAAGAGATCTAAAAACGTATTTCTCCACCTGTCTTATGGATGTTGTATGTCAGTGGTGTACTCACAGTCCAGCGCAGCATGATCTGTGTGTCACTGATGGCGTCTGTGGATGAGATGTGAGGTCCAACTACAGGACGGTCTGCGATCTGCAGGCTGGCTTGTGGCACCTGGTACAGCTTCGAGGGAATGCTGTGAGGACTCTCGCCGTACATGTTTATGGCTACAACGCGAAACTTGCAGGTGGAACCTGAGAAAGAAATACAATGATAGGGGCAATATTACAGTACAGCGGTGCTGAGCAGAAATATTGTCTTTATTAAATGAAATGATGTTGATACCTCTTTATTACTGTCTCATTATATTCTATTAGAGGTTTATTCAGTAGGTTATCTACTTACATACAAATATTGTAATACAGTAATAACCGAGCTGCAAAAAATACATTATCATTGCATCCCAAAAGAATGATTTCATGCTTTAAACACTACTAAATAATCTTAAATAGTCAAATATCAGCTGCCTGGATAAGTCACTCTTGTGTGCGGCAGTGAAACAGGTAACATTAACATACATCATCATAACATCAAAATCTAGCAAAAATAAAATAAAATAAAATAAAGATCAGAAAGATAAGGAAACTAGTCATAAAACATGTGTTTTTCCCAGTTTTTCTTAGTAGGGGGAGGATCAAGAAACCCTTATCTGGGCAGAGGAATCACGTCGTGCTTCAGTGGACTGTAGAGAAAGGTTTACTGTGTATAAAGTGTACTATGTGAAAGCTCACCAGGCTCCAGATTGCGAACTTCCACAGATAGCTTGAGAGGCGAGATATTATCCGCAGCCACAACCCACTCTGCGCTTCGGCCGCGTCTGTACTCGACACGGAAAGCTGTGATTGGAGAACCGCCATTGGCTCTCGGGATCCAGGTGACATACACTGAACTTTCAGTCGCCATGGAGATTGTGGGGCGATCAGGGGCCTCGGGAACTGGGACAGAAACAAATAAGGAATAACCTATGAGTCGCAAACTTCTGTGAATCCAATTAAAAACACACAGAGAGAACTGGCAACCGTCATCACTGCATCCCAACTCATATAAAGATGGAACAAGTTCACAGAGAAAAAAAAAAAAGAAAAGAACACACATCACAGTGAAGCGGCATGCCGTGGAGTAATGTGTACTTACTGCCTGGGCTCTTAGCCACAAAGTTAGAGAGGGCAGGAGACAGTGAGAGAGAGAGAAAAGAGGGTTATTGAAAAGACCAGTGAGTTTGAGCAACGCAGGCCTGCTTGTAATGCGAGTAAAACATGCACACACACATATACACACACACTCAGAGCTAAAACTAAAGCCGGGTGCAATCTCACAGCTTTCTGCTTACAGCATCTTTCACCCAAAGAGTCATTACAGGGTGTCAACTATCGTTTCACTGTTTGTACTCCAAGACAGATGGAAACACCACATCTAAACATTAAGCTCTGAAATCTATTCAACACAGTCCGGTCATGAACTCTACAATAATTATCCGACAGAAATTCCCATGACTTCCTCAGAAACACCCCACAATCATTCTTTGCACACTGCTACAGCAGCAAAACAGGACTTTTGCAGGCAGTCGATTGTGTCTACACCTACCTCTGTCGTGTATGACGACACCAAAGTGTGTGTTGGGGGTTTTGTCCTCTGGAGCTTTGGGGGGCACAGAGATGACGGGAGGCTTGGACGGATTCTTGTTGGAGGTGGTGCTTTTCTCTGAGAGAGGAAAAAGAAAAGCTGGGAATAAGAAAAACAAGGCCCAACAGGTCTTCAGGGCTATCAGTTCCACCAAAAGCACATGGAACAACTCCGGATGTTGGCTCTGTAATCTAAGTTTTCCTCCTGATTTCCGGAGCTGTTCTGGTTTTATCAGGGTGGGTTTCAGGTTTCCACTTGATAACTCTGCAGTTACACTTAGCTGTGTTGTTACTTGGAGTGTGTCTCCTATTTAGCACTTTTTAAGTAAAGATAAAGAAACACATTTTTGTAGTTTATACATTTCTAAACAGTGCCGTAGCCATCACTAAAGATACTGAGGTCATGTCCTTGTTATGGCTTCTGGGTATTTGAGGTTTTTATTTATATACATTTCATGGCTCTCTTAAAGGCTGATTCTGATCTTTTTTTTATGGTAGACAAAAAACCACCACCAGAATTGTATTTCTGGCAGTGTGGACAAGGTTTTGAAACAAGCATCATGCAGGAGGATTCATTTTACAGAAAATATAACTGAACAGTTAAAATAATTTTTATAATTAGGACAACAACAAAAATCACAGACCTTGTTGAGGATAAGTCAAATATTTTTTAAGGAGGTGGTTTTGTTCTGGTGAGTTGGAGCTGCATGTGGACATAAGAGACTGGTTGGCATAAAAGAACCACCCTTGGGATACAATCATATGTGTGGGTTTTGGCAGTATTTTACATATTTCTGACCAGGGAACATTTTGTCAACATTTTGGTATAGCATTATTGTTTGTTTTTGGAACATTTGCGGTTGTTCTTTTTTGATTTGTCTCAAAAGCACACCAAAATATGTTTATTCACTATGATTATGATCCTGATCATTATGATTGTACGTGGGGTTATAAGTGGCCAATGTGGTCGAAGTAGTCATTTAAAAGGAATAATCCACCCTCAGATACAGAATGTGGCAGTATATAATTAATGTTCAATCATCTAGTAATTATTCAGTAAGGAAGTGTCATCATTTTTTTGTTTTGGTGTCATCACTTATCCTCAGCCTGTATCATCTGCTTCTACTTCAGTTATTAATCCTCCTCAGTCCACACAAAAACTAATTTCATTCTCTAGGTGCTTGAGCCAAAAGTCAGCTTGGTTGAAAACTTTACTATGCTTTCCCTTTTATAAATCAGAAGCATAATGTGATTACATAGGTTTGCTCTGAAGGTTTAAAAAAAAGCTACAGCACCCCTGCTCTCATGAGACTGCTATCGATAGAGAAAGAGGTGCATGTTCCTGCCTCTTCTCCAGTAAATTTCTCCCTGAATTTCTGTAAACAGCCAGATGCTCTTTAACGCAAAAGGGGCTGACACCCAAACCTCAAAATACCGTTGACGTTTCAGGCTGCTGAAAATGTATCGGAAAAGGGTCTAAAGTGGTGTCTTCCAGTGGTCAGTTATACACAGGCATACGAAAAGAAACACTAAACAGCCTAATACACAGGAATTGAATATAAACTGGTAATAACAGCTGCAGAAGCTTCGACTGACCCTTGCCGGTGCGGAAGGTGAGCATGGCTGCCTGGCCCTCGCCTGCTGAATTTCGAGCCACCATCAGCACCTCATAGAGACTGGAGGACTCCAGCTCTGACAGCCGCAGGGTCTTCTCACTGCCAGGGACACGAACTGTATGCCAACTCCCAACCACCGTTCCCATTTCATCAACCTGACACACACAGACGGCCACACACACAGACAAACACAAACACATGACTAAAAATGAGAGAAAAACAAAATCATCGTCTGTCTAGAATCCTCTGTAGTTCAGTCTCTTTCCGAGCCTGACTAACGACAGGGAACGGCCTCAGAAACAATCCCTGTGAGATTTATGTCACAATTTCCAGCTCCAGTAAAGCGGAGTCCTGCTGCCAACAAAGTCTTAACTAGTATCGCTGCAGTTTTATAGTCATAGTGAGCTTATTACTGAAGCAAACACAGGAAAATGACCAACCTTTCAGTCATTTCAGGTCCTGGCTCTACCTTCTTTATTTAATGTACACATTACATTCACCCTTTGTCACACTCCTAAGGAAAGGTCATGTGTTTGTGGTAAAACTAAAATCTGTCTTTAAAGTGGTCATATTGTGCTCATTTTCAGGTTCATAATTTTATTCAGGGGTTGTACCAGAATAGGTTAACATGTTTTAATTTTTAAAAACACAATATTTTTGTCATACTGCACATTGCTGCAGCACCTCTTTTAACCCTGTGTGTTGACAGCTCTATTTTAGCTCACTTTAGAGATGCATCACTCCATAGCTGAAACAGATGGTAACTTCCTTTGAGGGGGACTTTTTTGCTTTGCAAACCTATTGTATGTACACACAAAAAAAAATATATGACGCAGTAAAGGAAAGGGAAAAGCCAACGGCAAGACAGAAATTTTTCCCCCACCTTACGGTATTTGACAAAATAGGCGTTGATTGGACTCCCTGCATCACGTCCTGCCCTCCACTCCAGGTCATACACATCAGGCTTATGAGTCTGGGGCGGGCTGATGATGATCGGCGCCTCTGGAATAGGACGGTCAGCACTCCTGTCAGCCGGCAGGTTGATTGTGTCGCCTTCATCTTCGGTCAGGAAACGCTCATGGCCCTCGTCGCTCTGCATTGGGTAGAGCGATGGCGTCGCCTCCAGTAGCACACCGGCAGTGGAGCCTGGCTGTGGACCTGTCAGAGAGAGGAATCAAAGGTTATTAAAGTATATCTGCGTTTGTAACAATCAGATCACAGTTCAATTTGACTTATAACAAAGCTGGGATGAAAACAAAATTCCTTGTTTAACGTTATTCCTCCTTACATGGGAACAGTTTTAAGATTTCACCCTTCTTCCTTTTTAATAGCTTCTGATAAAGATTGTAGTTTAAAATTGAATTATTTGTCTCGTTTTGACGAAAATTTAAATATATTTTTTTATACAAATGTCTTCTGTCTTGATGAAACTAGGGTTGGGCCAATAGAGGACGCCATGGTTGACAGACATCACGACGCTGAGCCTGCATCGTGCCTACCTCAGGTAAACACACTTGCCCCGCCTCTCTCCCCCTCGCTCCACTTTCTCCTTCAGCAGTAGGTTATGTTTTATAAAGTCGCCTAAAAGACACCGACCTCGTTTTTTTGCGTATTTTTCCACCCGTTGCTGAAACCAACATCTGCACCCTGTCTGTTCACTGGTGCTTTACCTGGTCCGTGCGTAAAATATCTACCGCGACTTGTAACTAAGTAAATAGGCTACCAAGTTTTTTACCTAGTGAAGTCTGTGCGACTGCTGCCTTCTCCAGATTTAAGCATCTTCATGAAGATTGACAGACAGACTTGATTTCTGAAATAAGACTTCAAACTAAACTAAACTACCTTCTGCAAGATAAAAAGTGTCTAATTAACATACTGTTATTGGTATAAGATAACAGAATGCATTGATGTATTTTTATTTGCCAATGTACTTACAAGTGGTTTCCACCTGTCACTGGAAGAAGCACAATGTAATAAAAACTGAAGCAATGGCAACAATGATACTCAGTGACGAACAGAGGAGACCTACGTGACCAGAGAGTCCAACCAGGGCGGGAAAGTTTTACACTTGGAACAAGTCTTTTAATCTGCGTAAAATAACAAAAACCCTGGATCTCTACCATGCTACATAACCCTGTCTTGTTTGTTTTTTTCATTAAATCGCCGAAGCCAGAGCGGTCCACCTGGACAAATCATGCAATCTGTGAGTCTTATTATGGCTGACACCAGTTTGGCAGAGGCTAGGTGGAATTTTTCACAGACATTTGGAGGACACTGAGCACAGCCTGAAAGAGCAGGAACCGCTCGACTCTGAGCCACACCACTGAGGTCAAAGAACGCCATAATTGAATATTAAAACCTAAACAAGTGAATAAGGAGGTTAAAGTCCTGGGTCCACTTTCAGGCTGTTTTGTGGGCGGCACCAGTTCACTTTGTAAAACAAACAGGCCTAGAGCTGGTAACATTAGACCTGATCCTGGGACTGCAGCCAGCTGCCACACATTCCACACGCCAACCATTAAAATACCGGAGAGAATCAGAACCCAGCACTACATCCAGTCCTACACACTCTCCTGCTCGTTCCCTCCCTCCCTGCCTCCCAACACACTGATGCAGAAGGAGGCAATTAAGGCCACGGTGTCTTCACCAATTTGATGGAGAAGAGTGATATAACTTGAGTAAGTGCTACTACACCTGGACAGAGATTCGCTGCCAAGTCCGTCCCAGAAAAAGGACACACCTGGGACTAAATGTGACAGTAATTCATGAAGGATTACCAGCAGAGAAGGTTTAGATGTCAAGATGATGTATTTTTTTTAATTAAATAACATAAAAATGGATTATCATAATTTTCTGTTAATCAGGTGATCAAATAATCATTTCAGCACATTTTGTTGTGGCCACAGCGGGGCTGCTGGCATTGTCATTTAGGAGCCGGGGAGCACTGTGGGTGTGGATGGGAATAGCAGGGAGGAAACAGCCAATCACATGACAGAATAAGGACACCACATCCCCCCGGTGGTACATCCCACTTAACGGATAAAAGCATGGGTTGTCATAGTGATGGAAACTAAAAAGCAAACAGATTGCTCTGTGTGATGAATTACAATACACATCAATGACACATTTTACTTTGAATGCAAAGGGCATTTGATAAGCTCCCATGCTTGGTACCTAAAATATAACTGATCTCAGTGTTTACCTTTGCTGGGTATATTCTGCTTATCAACTCCCCATTATGTTTTTGTGTAGAAATGTGGTCTGCAGCAAAGATATTAAATCAAATTTTTCTTCCTGTGTTCTGTGGAAGGGGAGCAAATGTTTGGCAAGGAACTCGACTGATAGTGAACTCGGCTGATCCAGCCTGGTTTGTACTCCCTATGTACAGCATATAGCTGTATTAATCATTCTGCAGATATAGAGGCGAGCTGAGGAATGGGTCCCTGGCGTATAGCGGCTGGGGAGGGAGAAGAGGGGAGGCTTGGGGGAGAGAGGTGGAGGAAGGGGAGGGCTGTGATGTGTTAATAAATAAAAGGCAGTTGTGTATGATGTTGACAGCTGGGTGGTCTGGTCCTCGTCATAACCCTTCACGGCTACTCCTTACATTCCAGCGTCCGGGGGCTTATCCCCGACGGCGTGCACAAAGCTCACTCTCACGCTCAAACTCAGTTCAAGGCTCAGGAGGAGGGCGGCCTTGGCTTAGCCTCTCCTACCAGCCCTCAAAAAACACACACATTCACACTCAAAGAGCAGGGACTCCCTGCAGATACTGTATGTGCAGGCCCACAGAAATCCTGCCTGGTAAGATGCCTTAACCCTCTCGAACACGAGCAAAAATTGCTGTAACAATTTACAATTATGTGCATTTCTCAAACTGCTCCCTTTTGTATCTGTAAACTCTTGAGCTCTGCAAACCCTCCAGTGTCTTAGTACAGTGGCAGTGTAGCACTGGATACAGTTTTAGCTTGTTTTGAGTGTTATGAAAGGGAAATTAAAGGGGACGTTTGGGAACATTAAGGTTGAATCACTTGATTAACTGAAAATTAATCAACAGCAATTCTAATCATCTGTTTTCATTTATCAAGCAAACGGTTCTGGATCTAGCAGCTCAAATGTGAAGACACCCTTGATTTAAACCATTGTCATTTGAATATCTTTGGGGTTTTGACTGTTGGTCAGATAAAACAAGTTATTTGATGTGACATTTGGCTCAGTGAACAGTCACACACATTCACTATTTTCTGACATTTTATAGACTGATAAAAAAACATTCCTTTTTTTTGGCAAATCACTCAACAATAAAAATAACCACTAACCCCAAAAGAAACAAAAAAAGATGTCTTGGAAATTTCATTATTTGTTGTCTGCCTTTTGTAAGCACTCTCTGGGTTAAAAGTATGTATGTATTACTAATACAAGCTGAGTTGAGAAAGCTCCATATTAAAGCCAAGTAACAAATTAGTTTGAGATAGCTGATATATACCCGATTGCGTTGTAAGCATTCCACATGACTGTGCCGAGCCAATCCCGTTGTCCAGCAGACACTGAAACAAGCCCTCATCCTGTGGTGTCACATCTGTAATAACAAGTGAGGATCTATAGATCTGAAAGCGTGGTGATGAGGTGATGGGCTCAGCGTTGAACAGCCAGGTGATGTTTGGTGAAGGGTTTCCTTTCGTTACGCAGGTAAAACGAGTGGAGGAGCCAAGAGAGACGAGCTGATTGGTCATGCCCTCTGTGATAGACACAGGCTCTGTGGAGGAGAGGCAGAAAGATTAACATCTCCACAAGGACTGCTGCAAACAGTCCCCAAACCCCCAACATCCCTTCTTGACCTTTTCTTACCAAGAACATTCACAGTATAGTTAGCGCTGATCACAGTCCCCTGCTCAGTCTCAGCAGCACAGGTATAACTCCCTTCATCACTCCTCGTCGTCGAAACAAAAGCTAGATTGTTGTGCTGTCGTTGGTGAGAAGCCCCTTGTTTGAGCTCTTTACCATTCTTAAACCATTTGGCTGCTGGTGCAGGACTACCAGACACGATACACTCCAACGTCAGCAGCTGTGACTGCTGCACCACAACAGTCACTGGGGTGGTGGGGTAAACTATTCTCACTGGGCGGGAGGAGTCTGAATCTAAACAAACAAATGAACCATATCAGCAGACAATAAAATAAAAATAAAAATTACAGTTAAGATATACAAACATTCTGAATCTTAAATGAAATGTAATTAGACTTACGTTTCACTGATAGCTTAGTACCATGAGGCTGCATGACGGTTTCCCCAGTAACGGGGTTTAACGCACCACATTTATACATGCCCTGGTGCTGGGATGAAACAGAGATAATCTGGACGTTTCCAGACGGAAGCACTAAATATTCATCTGAAAAGAGAAGAAACAGCAGTTCCAGTAATAGCACAGACAACTTCTTCAGTATCAAGATAGTGGAGATTGTGGAGGTACAACAGAATAGATGTTGTGAAGTAGTAAAATTTCTGGAAATTCAAATAAAAAAAACCCTTTATAGATAAATTAACAAAATGTAAATGTATGTTTTTGCCAGACACTGTGGGGAAAAATTAAGAAACTGATGTAGTATCCTAATGTCTCGCAGTTTATTTTCAGAATCCAAAAAGGAAAGATTTATTTGCTGATTTCAAACAAACCTGTTGACACTTCTATCCACTCCCCTCGTACTCTTAGTCTAGGAAGCGCTGGAGGGATGCTGCGCGGTAGAGGACACTCGATAAGAACAGTGCTGCCTTCCTGTGCTGATAATGACCGCCGCCGGCCACCTTCATAGTCTGTTATTTCTGCAGTGACAGAGAAAAAGAAGACTCCTTCAGTTAAACTCACTTTATGTGCAGAATATTGGACATTTAATATGTGCTGAGTATCAGAAAGGTCAAGAACAAAGGCAAATGGTGCTACTTGAGTTGAGCTGTTTGTGTTGGATCACTGGGTTTGTTTATTTTTGCAGTGAGTGATTCTATTCATGCCTGATAACTGTTCCAGATCAGGGTCAACCCCTTAGAGTAGTGTCCAAGCAGCATCCCAGCAGGAACATAACACACCACACAGGAAAGCCCAACTCTCATTAAGGATGCTGGTCAAGAGGCATCTGGAAGGGTGCCCGAATAAAAACTCCTACTGCTTCCTTCCCCTCCGCACTCAGCAGCAGGCAGCCGAGGACAGGCATTCTTTTAAAGTGTTCAACACTCACAAAATGGCCTTCCTTTTCTCAAGGCAGCTTCCTCTCTTTCTTTGCCCCTCTGCTTTGAAGTTAGTAGAAGTATGCACTGAAGGGTAATTCTCTGTATCCGTACCTGCTATGGCCACACGTGCGTAGCGGCTAGCGATAGCCGGCCCGTGGTCTAAGTGTGCCACACACTGATAGACGCCAACATGGCTGGGCTTAAGGGAGGAGATGGTGAGGGAGCCCTCTTTGAACTCCACACCAGGCAGGGTGTCCTGGTCCAGTGGTCGGTCTCCGAAGCGCCAGGAAACCACAGCTGAAGGGGGACTTACTAAGCAGTGCAGCCGAGCAACTGAGCCTCGACTCTGAATCAAGGAGGCAGGCTCAGAGCGGAAAGAGGGATATTGAGCTGGTGAGGAGACAGGAGCAGAGAAAAACAGGTTCAGAATATTGAATCACAAATTTTGTTATAGGTGGTTTGACGTTTAAGAGGCACCAACCCCTGTTTTCACTGCTGTGATGGTTATCATACTATGTGCTTATTTAGGATTCTAATTTAAGACAGGATAGACCTGCCCAACACCAGATGTTTAGAACTAAAAAGAGTTTAAAAGTCACAAATTATTACTATTTGCAATAATTTATTTATTTTTATTAATTTAAATTGGAGTCATTGTTGTCTTCCAAGAAAAATATTTGGCTCTTTAGCTACTATTATTATTATATTCTGTCTGCTGTTTGCTGCTGGGCAGGTAGCGTGCAGTAGGTTTTTGCTAAAAACAGCTGCCATGGTGCTGCTAGAAACTGATGAATGCACCCATGAAAGCTGCTAAGATCATTTTCTCCACTCTTAATATAAAAATAATTGTTAGTGGGTTTTCACCACATCCATCCGTGTTTAGCTGAGAGTCGGACAACAACTTACATGAGCAGCTGATAAGCAGGGACTGGCTGAGACACAGCACAGTGGACAGGAGGACCCTTAGGCCACTGTCCATGGTGCACTTTGACCCCTGCCAGCAGCCGTGTTGCCCAGCACCCACACACTTGTCTGTTGATCGAACCTGCAACATACAGAAGAGTGGAGAAACACGTCAAACCAGAGCTCTGCATGGAAACATGACAGAATCCGCATGAACAAAAGAAGTGACAGAAGTAAATGACAAAACAAGCTGGAGGAGGATTTCAGAGGTGGATCTGAGCGAGGAAAAAATCTATTAGGTTCCAGATGAATCCTGTATGGCAATCCTTCTAATCTTCACGACACATCCTCTTTACACACTCCTTGATCTCCACCTCCCACCCTCTCCTCTGACCTCTCTTCTCACCCACTTCAGTGTCTCCACAGAGGCTGGAATGTCCAGCCTCTTTGCCCCCCTGCCTCTCTCCCCCACTGGGCAGCTGAGATCTCCCACTAATGGAGTGGCTGTGGAGAGACTGTTGCCTCACTCTTAATATCACTTTCTTGTCACACTGTGTTGCTTCCTCATAGGTTTACTGTAGCCTGAAGTGCAGGCCCAGACACACTGGAGGGCACGTAATTAGGAGCATTCCTCTATCCTTTTCAACACGACCCCCTCCGACTCCGGCACCACCTCCTCCTTTTTCTAAGAGTAATCCGGGCAAGCTTTGATCCCAGGTTCCTGGTTGGTAACCAGGGTTTGAGCCTGAGGCCGAAGGGACAATGGCCGTCCAGCTGTGATATTCACACTAGCGCTTTGGTGGCTTGCAGACGTTAGTAGAAGGGCCGACCGGGGCTGAAGAGGTCAAATTAAAAAGATGATGTCTGGGTGGGTTCAGTGAAGCTGAACAAGTTTCTAACCCTCATTCTCTAACCTAAACATTGTTTCATCTGCTCGACACTCAATTCATTTAGCCTCCTCTCAAGGCTACAGCATGGCTCGTAAATGACAAGTTGGTTTATATTCATTATTAATTAACCTATTGATTACTTTACCTTAAAGAAATGGTGAAAATTGCCAATCACAGTTTCTTAGATGAACCCATTTTAGCTTGATATGTGACCTGAACCATTAATAAATCAAAAACTATTAAAACTAATGTCTAATTGTTTCCGTACTAGTTGTGAATGATGCTACAGGGATGTTTGTTCCTTTATAATCTAACCAATAAGTCACTGATGCTTTGTTCATGTACTCATTCTCACTCTCTTCAACTTGCCATCTCTCTGTCTCTGGTTACAAAATATATAACCTTCATTCTATCCAATGTTTATGCCTAGCGTCCCCACACTAGGGCATTTTCTGTTGCTGTTCTTCATTTGTAGTATTTCCTGCAACTAAGCAACCAATACCAGAGTAGACAATCTTCCTCCTATTTACACTGGCAGTGAATGGTCATGCAATATGCGTTTCCAGGCGTTTTAGTATGGACAGATATTATTTCTGAAACTGTGCTAAAATGCTTGCATGTACTGATGGATGTAGCCTCAAAGGGCATAATGAGAGGAGGAGAGAAGAAGCAGGAAATAATAAACTCTCCCAGCTCCTGGCTCACGCCCCCTTCTCACCCTGAGGTCGAAGGTCAGGTTAAGAGCAGAGAGAGAGGGTGAACCAGCGGGTGTCTGGTGGCCCTGGGCCAGCCCCCAGAGGTCACCTCTCTCTCTTTTACTCATACACACAAACACCTAACCATTCTACACAAAATAACTGTCATGTTGCTGCTCAATTGTGTCAGCTTGATTCTGACTGAATTGCTACAGCAATTAACAACAATCTGTAATTTTGACTTTATGACTGAACATGCTACATTATGTATGTGGTGTATGCTCTGCATCTCAGGCTCCAGTTTAAGCGTGTGCATGCTTATTCAGGCAGATCAAACCCACATCTTGCAGGCTAGCATTTCTCCATCTCACGAGTTGCAACAGGCCCTGCACACTGCTCCCATGTCACCACTGGAAACTATCTTTCTCTCTCTGCCAGAATAATGATATATAATTACAATAATAACAACAGCGCTATAAAAATGCACAGCGAAGCACAGACACATTGGCACACGGTATGATGGGAAACCAGAGCTGATTCTGTAAGTCTCTCTCTCTGTATACCTTTCTTACGCTCTCTTATTTTAACTAGTTACTTCCTCCCAGTGGGTGTAGCAGTTGGACATTACAGCTCCGACTGGGTGCTCTTGTGTAAACACATACAGCTGCCTATCTGGCCCATCGATCTGGCGCAACAAGGAAACACAGGGGCATCATTCCTGCTTCTTATCTGTTTGGCTTTCCTCTGACATCCGCCACCATGAAGCCGCCTCAATGGAGACAGACACTGTGAGCATATCTTGTATCCCTCATCACGGTGAGCCGTCCTGATGCTGGCAGCACTGGCTACATGGAAGGGCAAGTCCTGCTTCCTCCTGAGCAGACCACCAGACAAAAGCTGGAGTGGCCCTTTGACAAAGGGGAAGTCCCTGTCAAGTGAAGTCCGATCGGCCTGAGAGCTGTCTCCTCTGGTCTAATGTTGATCTGCAGCCAGCCCACTCCCTCACTCCTCTGCTCTCCTTCATAAAACTCCAGTCTATACTACTTAAAGGAAAAAAATACTGTGTTCCAGATTCCCTCCTCCTATCCCAAATCTGATTTTATGTTACCCCCTGGTTTTGCACTTATGTTGTAGATGCATGGCCATTCTAGAGCGGGATCAACCAGCTATAAATTGAAGAGACGTCCTGCTCAGAAGAAATCTGATATAGAGACACGGACAGTTTATGAAAATAAATGAGGGTAGTGTCAGTGAGTTCAAGTGGAAAAGTTCCTATTTTTTGGGTGTGGGGGTTGACCCATGTATGCTTGGGAAATATCTGACTGACACTTGGCTTAAGTGTGTGAAAGCGAGAAAAAACAGTCTTCTTAGACAGCTTGTGTCCCTCATTCGGTCTTTGTAACTCTCTTCCCTTCCAGAGTTGAGATATACTGTTGAGAGACAGCACCTTTATTTATCCATCTTGGGAGTAATACAAAACTCAGACACAGGAATAGCACCATATATCCCCTTGTAGGACAAGAGGGATCCCTGGTGATGACACAGAAGAAAATAAACACATTGACAGGTTGCCCTCAGGGAAGGGAAAGGGGCTTGAGTTCTGGGGGGGTTGCACCTGCACTTCTTTTTGGCCTCCTTTCTGCAAGAACTACTTAAAGCCCCATCTGCCCACATGTGGGGCTGGCCCATATCCCTGTCATATTGGGTAAACAGGGACAAAAGCAACGCAGTGGAGCATCAAAGACCTGGAGGGAAGAGGAAGAACAGGTCACAACTGGTGCTGTTGACTGCGGCAGGGCCCTAGTTTCTCCACTTCACAAAACAGCACAGCCAAATAAAAGCCAACAGAAAACATGAGGCAGTTCCAATGCCGATTTTATAACAGGGGCCATTCATGACTGCTTAGCAATCAATACCAGAGTTGTACAAATCCAGCAAATCAGAAAGGTTTACCTTCAAAAAAGAGAGAATTGTAAGCAATGCAAGGAACTGAATGAAGCTCAGAGAAAGGGTGCAGTGCGGTGTAACAGAAAGAGTAAGTAAGAGACTTTTCTGGTATGATGGTCTAATTTGACCTGTGCACTGAAGCTGATTCACATGCTATACCCCAAACCTGTCTGCACTCGCCCCACATCTCATGGACAGAGGATCTGTAGCACACACATTCCTCAGCTCCACACAGAGAGAGAGCGATGGACACACACACACACACACACACACACACACACACACACACACAGGAGATGGCAGATAAATTCAAAACAAGAAGATGAGAGGCAATGGGGAAAAAGTATAGAGAAAGAGAAAATAGAAAGAAAAGCTCTCTGGGAGAGGAGTAAAAGGAGATGGGGGTATAAAGAGGTGAAACATTCACTGGGAGGTGTATAGTTGCCAAGCCCCAACTAATTTCTCCTCCCTTTTTATTTGGCTCAGAGATAGAGACGTACAGATAATGGCTGAGCGCACATCCATGTCTGCCAAAACTGACTGATGATTCAGTCTAACTACATTCAGCTCAGCCCAGAAACTTGGGAAGAACCTACAGAGAGAAGAGACTCTAGGGGACCATTATGGGCTTCATCTATTGGTCTGGGTGAGCCCACTGAGGCAGCCCAGGGCCACAGAGGAAACTAATGAGTGGAAACACTGGGCCTCTGGTATGGCCTAACTCTGTCTGATTAAAGACTGAGACGTTATTAAAAGTGGGACAGACTTAGAGAAGGGGAGTGAGCTAAAGAAAGAGAGTGAAAGAGAGACATGATTTGGAATCAAATATGGGAATTAGGGGGAAAGAAGAGGTGTTTTCTGTTTTACAATGAGTAAGTAAGGAGAAAAAAAAAATCAATCAATAATACAAAATGACTGCCCCTTCTGAACCTGACACCTGAAAGTGAATGCAAGTCTCCTCAATAAATCATTAAAGTGAGTGCAGCGAGTGTGACTGCAGAAAGCAAATGAGATACATCTTCAAGGACAGACACAGTGCGTGCGCCTGCAGGAGTCCCAGAACCCAGCGATGCCACAGCACTGACAACACTGCCATGGTGTGGGATCAGACAAGAGGAGGAATGAAAGGAGAGGCCCCTGGGGATCAGACAGTCACATCCCACAAAGCCCTGTTTACCAAGGACACACACATCCACTCCCCCCTTCCCCCAACATCTCCGTTCACCAAAGCCCGACCCTCCCAAAGTGCCAGGGCAGGGACCTGGGAGACAGCGCTAATTCTACCCCCAGGCTTGTTGGCCGAGAACACAAGCAGAGAGGGGAGAGAAAGGGAGGGAGGCAAAAAGACTGAGAAAGTGGGGACTGAATGGTACAGTATGTAAGACCCATCTTAATTGGAGATTGTTCTGCAATGTCTTGTTTTTCCTGGGAATCTGTGAGGGGGAGGGACAGGAGGGTGAGGAGGTACGGTTGTTTCCCAAGGTCCTGAACAGCAGGATTAACCACAGGGGCGAAACTCAATAGCGGCCTCGGACACTGGAAACAGATCCCCGGGTATTGCCACCATACAAGGCCACCTCAAGACCTTTAGCAAAGCGCATGTAACTAAC